CTTCCCTTGACCTTAGCAATGTCTGAATTCAGAACATCCTGCTGTGAATTGAATATTAAAAATGGTTCACAGACCCCATGAGAAGATGCTTGTAATCTCCATGCCTCATCATGAACCATATGAGCTGTTCTTACGAAGTCAACTATTGTTACATGTTTATTCCCTTGTTCTTTTTGCTTGATATATCATATGTTTATTAATCTGTCGGCTTTGCTGTCATTTCTATGCTTTCACTTTTATTTAATCAATTAATTATCTGCATATTGAAACTGGTTTTATCTGTGTGTTTACTTCCTAACTTATAATAATTTTTATCTTTTTGACCCTCCATTCTAGGGAATGAAAATCTCTGTCTTCTGTCCTCAAATGATTGGCAGGTTTTTAAAATTTCATAGGCCCCTGTACACACTTCTTTCATCTTGGTTAAATTAATGGGGCAACTGAGGAGTAATTTTTCGATGCGACCGTAACACCACAAAATCTTGTAAACAAGTTTATTCATGTTGACATTGATGAAAATAGTGATCTGTTAACGGAGTAATTTTTCGATGAAACTGTAACACCGCAAAATCAGGTGAACAGACTTATTCAAGTTGATATTGATGAAGATGGTGTTTACATTACTGTGCAGTCGTCACCAAGAACAAGAGGTGCATATTAAGGGGTGTCTCTTAAGCACTTCAAGTAATCATGGCCAGACAAAGCTTGGGACAGATCTAATCCAAAATCGCTTCGAGAAATTAATGTGCATTTGTATATTACAAGTTGCTGAGCTGGATTTTGGCTAGAGAAGGTTGAATTGAATGAATATACTCGAGAACTTAACCATATGAAGGCAAAACATTGGTCCCCCAAGTTTAGCAGTTGCAAGGAAGAACACATCAAAATTGAACTTGCATAAAGAAAAAGGGTTGTTGTGGGGCTTTGCTAATCAATATTTCTACCCTTTAATTAATCTCAGTTTATTATATTGGTCCACCGTGTACCATGCCATAAAGGAGAAAGAGAACCGTTGAGTAGAAGAAGGCCTAATCTGCAAGCCTTTTGCAGCAGAGAGAGTTGTGTGGTGATGTGATGTAAAATCAATAATTTATTATTTATAATTTATAATTTTTTTCATAGGGGGAGACAGTGAATTTGTTTATTCAACAGTCATCACAACACCATCATTGTGTTGAGAGCTTTCCCTTAAACTCAATGCATTTTTCTCTTTCTTTTTTCTTTGTTTTCTCATCTTTTTGCATGTTTCTAAATCTGTATTAATTAATTAAATTACCCTCTATAAGTGTGTCATGGTTTCTCTGTTGATTTGAAGTCATTAGCATTGAGTCATAATTTCGACCAAGTGAAAAAGATCAGTGAACAGTTTTTGGTACATCAGCATTGTGTCACAAGTTAAGTTTCACATCAGGTAAGAATGAGTTTGATCTTGTGGTAATGATGGTGTAGGCCGGAAGCATCACCTAACATGCTAGTCTTTCGGGTCGGATGACAAGCCCCCAGCTTGTGACTAACGGTATCAGAGGAGACCCAAATCCGTTACGCGGAGTCACGCAACTTGTTTTTGTGATCTGGCTAGACAGAAAAGTGAGATGTAACAACGTTAACAACTTAACATATATGTAGTTGGTTTATCTACTCTCATTATTTTCCTCATTCTGTAAAAGATAAAGCCCTTTTGTACCAGTTGATTCTTGTGAGCTCACTTTACAGAAATCTTCCACTCAAGGGTTTTCCAGAATTCAGACTACTTGAGGCACATGTATTCTGTGGAAAGAAGATTAGCTAGTCTTATCAAATTTAGTTCTCTGTATCTTAGACAAAGTGTGAGTCATCAAGTGGGCAGGCTTTGATAACTATTGCTACTACTTTAACAAATTCATCATTCAAGCAAGTGTAAATTATACCATCTAATTAAGTAAAGAAAAGGCACTGATGCAAAAGGCCTGGTTGATGGGAAATTTGTAAATGAAATTCATGGAAAGAAAGATTTGGAAGATCATAATTAGAAAAGAAAGTCATTGAAATGGAGGGAGACACAATCCATACGCCCTTGAAAGATGGAGATGCCCTCTTTTGCATTATCCCGGAAGCCATCTTTTCATAAGCTTAATTCAAAAACAGACAACTAATTGACAGTCAAGAAGAGCAACCCGTGCTCCATATACCACAGAATGACACCTTATATTCCTAAATAAATTCTTTTTAACTACAGATGTTTATTTCCATCCACTCAAATTCAGGCAGCAGCCAATCTTCTGCCCACATTTTCTCTGCTAAAGTCTGCAAAACCAGGACAGCAGCCGAATTTTTCCAGTTTCTTGGGTTTTTTGTGATTAAGCATGTTTCTGCATTAAGATTTTGAGTGAGGACATATCTTTTTCAGCCATTGCCCGAACTTTATGGCTAGAAATTGGTACAACATGGAAAACACAGGTGAGAAGGAAAAAGAAAATGTGGGGAAACACTCCACATTGTGTTGCTGGGCAAATGGATCTAATAGAGCCTTGAAAGGTTACATTTGAGATGACCCTAATGTATCTACTCAATTGGCCCATTCGCGCCAGTTGGAAACATAAGCACATGGCTATCTCATGAGATTTAGTTAAATCACAACTAAACTTAATTATCTTGTCAGAGAGTGTGATGATGATGATAGAAACATGAGCATCAGCATCATGAGCCATGACGTTTTCTTGATTGCCGTATAGGGAAGCTTAAGATCTCAAAAACAATCATGATTAAGTAAAAATGCCACTGTTCTTTCCCATTAATCCCCGTGTATTAGTTTTTTTAATAGCTTATTAGCAACACTTAATCATGCAGAAAGGGATGTAGCCCTTGATTTGTGTCAAGTTAAATTACAGAGTACATTGGGCAATTGACTTTAACAAGAAGGCAACATTATAAGAAGTGTGTTTGAAAGCCATTTAATTAATCCCATCAATTATCAAAAAGCTTTGTCTGGTTGAAATGCTCCCCTATGTACCCCATCCTCGAATAATTACATCTTTGCTTTTGCTTTATAGTGGGAAATGATAGTCAACTTTCTTGCCTCAGTTACATCATTACTTCTAATTTTGGGGGAGAGCCCCTGCCCTTAATGAACTGTTCGAGATTCTAATGGGAATGCTATGAGAAATTGAGCCTTCTCAATCAGTGTGCTTTTGAGAACTGATGGCATACTCTCATTGGTGCTTTCCTTAACAGATTTTGATTAAAGGTGTCTAATCAAATTTATTATGAAAAAAAAGGAGAAATAGGAGGTCCATGACAGATTGTTCAAAATCTAATCCATCACAGTACTAGGACCTAATTGGTAAATTCCTATATCTCATTGGCAAACATTTGATAGCTATAGTAGGTGGCGGCTAACCGTTAGTATACATGAATTCTACTATAAATGCATATGAACGGTTGACAATCATTCACACACGAGCATGAATGAATGAATGTATCTAGCATTCGCCTCAATATTATTATTTTCCCTTGACCACCCTTCACATGTACCATTTGCCCAACATGGCATGACCCTTTCATTAGCACAGCCTACTTAGAAACAGACACTTGGTTAGGGCTTCCTCACTTTTTTGGCTTTGGTTTACACTCTAGAAGTACCAGCATTATGCTTAAAGTTACACTTGGTGTCAGTAGAAAACCCATTGTTAAGCAGATTCAGGGCTAGCGTTTGAATCTTGTTATCCAGCATGCAATTTTATAGGTTATGAAATTACATTTTGAAAGATTTTCTAAGTTTAAAGATAATGGAATCAATGGACTGTTTGAACTTTGAAACAAACCATCTAATGGTGATGAAGACCTCATCTAAGGCTCTCACTATATAATTCTACCCTAATGGTGTATTCGAAACACCTAAAAATTACTCCATGGTGATATCAATCGGGTCTCTTCTTAGAGTCTTGATCTGCATCTTGGTTTACACAAAAATAAAAAGAAAAAGAGAGAAAAAAACATCATGGATATAAAGTCTCTCAAACGCAAAAATCGAGATGAAAACAAAAAGGCCCAAACCCAAATTCCTAACAATCTTAGACTTGCAGAAGTTCTAAATGCTACAGTCGTCTTTTATTTTTGGGAAGGAAGAAAAGCCTCATGGCTATGAAGCTTGCCATACCATGTGATGCCCTCAAACGACTTCTGGGCTTTTGGTCTACGAGGCTCATACTTCTTTTGAAATGAAAAAGCGAACGCTCATCAACATGAAGCTTTTGCATCTGAGGCCCACAGTTCTTTTTCTTTTTAAATTTGGTGAGCTCAGTTGTTAGCCACATGCTTCACTTTTTCCTTTTTTTCTTCTTTTTCTCTCTCTTTTATTCTTTTGCATATGAAAGGTTAATAAAAAGTTTACCAACAAAGTCTAAAAAATGTGATTGGGACGTGTAATTTTCTTCAGATTCAACCATAACATAATAGTATGCACTATCCACTTCTTCATATGTCATGATAAAAGAAAATTCAAATTAGAAAAACAACGCACGGATAGAAATAAAATCAAAAGATACATAAAGAAGCAAAAATTTCGTCTAAATGCATTTTCGTAATCGCAATCAAGCGATCCTCAAGTCAAAACTTCAATAAAAATATGTGAAAAATACCTGCGATCGAGTTTATAAGTCTTCCTAGTCCTCGCTACCTATATTTAAATACTACGTTTCTGATAATAATAAAAATATCTGTATTTCTTCAACTAGTTCTCCGTAGACTAAAAAAATATGCATAAGTTACACGTAGTGGATCCCAGCTTCATGGGATTGATTGGTGCTGTGCATGGCCGCCATGGCCCAACATGGACGCATAACTTGTTCTTGACCCAAAAATAATTTTCAGACCGTTAAAACGCAGGAGGCTCTGGTGCCGTCCACGCCCAACTGTGGCTGTCACTCGCTCCATTTATATATATATATTTTTTATTTCTGTTGATAAACAAAAAGTAATTAGTTTTCCAAGCCTAATCATTGCCAGTGTTGCCAGGACCATGTGATGTGGCCTGCCAATTGACAACCTGTTTTTCATTTGTGTGTGGTAGCTCTTCATCTTCTTCTACTTCCCGTAACTTCACTTGGCTTTTTTTGGGTCGTTCGTTGCCAACAGTCTTGTTCTTCCTTTCCTTTCCCTTTCCTTTTCCTTTTTTATTGCCTCTGCTTTTCACTTGAACATCTTACTTCCTGCTGCTTGGTACAAGTGTTAAGCTTGCTCTTGATCCTCTCATGGCTACAGAAACTGCTGCATCACATCATGTTCCTACCACTGATGACGAGGTTAGTTCCTTCAGTGATCAAGTATGATCCTCCTTTCAGGGATTTCAAAGTTCATATGATCCAGAGTTGATTTTATGTGTTGTATTGTCTTATGTTTTGTGAGCTATAATCCATCAAAACCCAGTTATGATTATGCTTTAATTTGTTATATTTTTCATGTTATTGGGTATTAATTGATATTTTTCATGAATACCAACTTGGAGCATCATGCAAGTAACCTTGTCTTTCCATGGTTTGTGATTTGGAGGTGTCCTGCTTTTTACTTATATTCATATTGGATATATATATATATATATATATATATATTTGTATACCTTCTCAGATAAGAATATATAGGTATGCAACTTTCAAAGTAGGGGTTTCAAAATCTATCCATCTCATGAATAGCCTGAAGAAGATGATAGGTGATATGTGTTTTAGATTTTCAACAAGTGATATATTTTGAAATTTTTACCATGAAAATAATTCAAAACAATTAGAGATATGAATAACACATAAAGGGCACCATCTTCTGTTTAGCAGAGGATGCCACAGATATCTTATTCAATATGATGCAGAGCTTTTTAAACCCAAAAAAAAGTTTCCAAGTTCTACACATATGTGGTTGGCTTTCCTATTTGAATTGGACACAGAGATCTCAGTAACTAGTTCTTATCAAATTTATTTTTGGATGAGATTATAGATGCCTGAAGAGATTAAAAGCAATGCTTGTAGTGCTCTTATTGCCAATTTCTTTACTTGATCTCTTTTGTGTATGTTTGATTAATACCTATGCACCTAGCAATACTTGGCTAGGTTGCTTATTTCTATGTGAAGCCCTCTTCCTCAATGGATTTGTTTATTTTACTGCTGATCATCTTTTAATCACTGCAGCAAGTTGAAAAGAAGGTGCGTGAAGAAGAAAAGGCTTCTGAAAAGGAAAATGTTTCTTTACCCCAAGGAAGTGGAGAAGAAATAACCAAAACTGAGGATGCAGCAAGTCTAGCAACACCAGCTGAGTCTGAAGGTGTTGATCATAAGAAGATTGAGCCTCCTGTAGTTGAAGCCATTGAGAAAACTAATGGTGCTCCTGTGCCAGATGTTAAGGTGGAAAATGAATCCATTCCTGATTCACAAACACCCGCTATTCCAAAGCAAGTGGCTGATGCTGCTGAGAGCCCAATAGAGGTTAAGACAAACATTGACTCTGTAGTAGGAGAAGCACCAAAAGAACCATCAGTAGGTATCATTGAAATAGGCCAAGTGGAGCAACCAAAGATAGTTGATGCTCCTCAATCATCAGTTGAAGCCATTGAGAAAACTAATGGTGCTCCTGTGCCAGATGTTAAGGTGGAAAATGAATCCATTCCTGATTCACAAACACCCGCTATTCCAAAGCAAGTGGCTGATGCTGCTGAGAGCCCAATAGAGGTTAAGACAAACATTGACTCTGTAGTAGGAGAAGCACCAAAAGAACCATCAGTAGGTATCATTGAAATAGGCCAAGTGGAGCAACCAAAGATAGTTGATGCTCCTCAATCATCAGTTGAAGCCATTGAGAAAACTAATGGTGCTCCTGTGCCAGATGTTAAGGTGGAAAATGAATCCATTCCTGATTCACAAACACCCGCTATTCCAAAGCAAGTGGCTGATGCTGCTGAGAGCCCAATAGAGGTTAAGACAAACATTGACTCTGTAGTAGGAGAAGCACCAAAAGAACCATCAGTAGGTATCATTGAAATAGGCCAAGTGGAGCAACCAAAGATAGTTGATGCTCCTCAATCATCAGTTGAAGCCGTTGAGAAACCAAAGGAGTCAGTAGCAACAGTCCTAAAAGAGATTAAAGACTCAGAGCCAGAGCTTGCTATTGCAAAAGTGGAGGAAAAACCAAAAGACCAATCTGAATTTTCTCAAGTAGAGAAAAACCACGATGAGGAGCCTGAAGAGCGCATGCAGGATGAAACGGTGAAAGATGAAGGGCCTGTAGCTGACAAGGTTGAGCATATCACATTCTTGGAGCAAGGGAAAATTGAAACGGTCAATACACCTAGTCTAGCAGTGGAGGAAGAACCAGAACAACCTAAACTTACAGCAGAAGAGAAGAAATATGATGAAGTTGAGCCTGGGAAAAGTGTGGAGGATGAAAGATTAAAAGATGAAGGATCTTTGATTGGTAAGGTTGAGGAGCCCACATTCCTGGAAGAAGGGAAAACTGATAAAGACGATAAGCCTAGTCTAATCGGAAGTCCAGAAGAGGCTTCACTTAGTCGGGAGGCTCAAATCAAGCTACAAGATGAAGGGGATTCTTCTCTACCTGAAGTCACAGAAAAGATCACTACTGAGGACCAAAAGAAAGAATCAAGTGGGGTTGATGTGGTTGAGAAGCTAGCAGAAGAGGCAGCAGTGGAGACTGAAAAGGTTGGAAAAGAGAATGTGGAGACAGGAAAGGTTGAAAGGGAGAATGTGGAAACTGAAGATTCAACTCAACCAATTAATGAAGACCAAAAGAAGGAAATAAGTGGGGTTGATGTGGTTGAGAAGCTAGCGGAAAAGGCAGTGGAACTGGACACGGTTGGAGAAAAGGAGGTGGAGACTGAAGACAATGTAAAGGAAACTATAGAGGATGAAAAGAAAGAATTAAATGGGGCTGATGTAATTGACAAGCAAACAGAAGAGGCAGAGGTGAAGTTCGAAAAGGTTGAAGGAGAGAATGTGGCAAAGAATGTTGAAACTGAAGATAATGAAAAGAGGAATGTTATAAGTGAGGATTTAGCTAAACCGATTGAAGAGGAGCAAAAGAAAGAAGTTGGTGGGGTTGATGTGGTTGAGAAGCTAGCAGAAGTGGCGGCAGTGAAGTTGGAAAATGTAGAGAATGTTATAAGTGAGGATTCAAGTCAACCAATTGAAGAGGAACAAAAGAAAGAAGTGGGTGGGGTTGGTGTGGTTGAGAAGCTAGCAGAAGTGGCAGCAGTAAAGTTGGAACATGTAGGGGAAGAGAAGGTGGAAAAGAATGATGTAATTGAAGAGAATAAAAAGATAAATGTGATAACTGAGGATTCAACTCAACCAATTCAAGAGGACCTAAAGAAAGAATTAAGTGGGGTTGACGTGGTTGAGAAGCTAGCAGGAGAGGCAGTGGTGGAAATAGAAAAGTCTGGAGAAGAGAATGAAACAAAGAATGTGAAACTTGAAGAAAACGAAAACAGAAATGTGATTAACGAGGTTTCAACACAACCACTTGAAGAGGAGGTCAAGAGCTCTATTTCTCCCCCTGAAGTTATAGAAAAATCATTTGAGGAAGCTGAGAAATATGTTGAACCTGCAGTGGAAAATGAAAGAGCAGAACAGATAAAAGATGAGACTCCAGCTAAAGTTGAAACCAAGAAAGATGAGAGTGTGGAGGAAAAGCAAGATGAAGTTACTAGAGCTGTTGATGAACCACTTAAAGATTCCAAGCAATCTGAGTCAGAAGTAAAGGGAGAGGATAAATTGGAGGAAAAGGAGGATGAAACAGATGCTGGTAAATTGGAAAAAGTCGATGATGATGTTGCAAAATCTAAACAGAATATAGAGCCTCCTCCCACCAAGGATGGTGATCAAACAAAACCCTCCCAGGACCTGCCAAAAGAAGTTCCAGTTAAGCCCTCTCAGAAACAGTCAAATACCATTTTGTCGAAGGTAAAGCAGTCACTGGTGAAGGCAAAGAAGGCAATCATTGGGAAATCTCCAAGCTCCAAAAACCATGCCTCTGGAACCAAGGATGATATTAAAGTCAAATAATGAGATGGAATATTAGTTTGCATATATCACTTATTGTCTCTTCCCTCATTCTTGTGATGTTTATATGATTGTGGGCTCCCCCCCCTGGTGTTGCTGCTCACTCTCAGCTCATGGCTTGTGTTTTGATGGTAAAAGAATGTGTGCATATAGAACATATAGGCTCCTGCCAGACTCCGTAGTGTAAAGTGGTGTGTATATTGTTAGTATCTTCCCCTCTTGACACTTGATTTGAGTTGTAAATTGTAAGTACTGTCTCTGTGTTGGTGCTTGATGTTATCGCCAAGAAAGAAGTTTAATATCGTGAAAAATGGAATGTGGATTTATGTTCAAGTTTCAATCATCATTTTCATCCAAATACCATTTACTTTTGCCAATAGCTTGCATTTCAGTTGAAAACAAAATAAGACTGCAAGCCCAGTCAAGATCTATGAAGAATTGGTCGAGATTGGGAAAGACGACGTTTGCTAGCAACAACTAGGAACAAGCAAAATGAACATGGAACCATCTGAATAGCCAACAATCCTTGTTAAAGATTGTACCATATTTCACCAAAATGGCTTCAGAGAAAGAGAGAGTACCAACATATGTATTATTAAGACATTACTCTGATTGTCATTAATTCAAAGAATTGTTATAATATGTCCAAAAACACACATTTGATACATATATTTCCGGTATATTCAACTCTTATGCTTTGCTGCATTACCTCACCGGCAACAAAGTGAATGTACAAAAGCTAGAAGGGACTTCAAGTCTTCTCAAGGTACCAAAATCCGTGCAACATGTAATCGTGCTCTCCTGAAATTATAATTCAGATGGTTATTGCAAAGGTTCAAGATCGACTCAGAGGTGCTTTGTACTTTAAATTGTATCTACCCGGATCTGAAACAAGCAAAAGATCCAATCTCAAGATGCTGCATCATGGATTTCTCTCCTCCAACCACAGATAGAAGTAGAACTGCTTAACCTGAATGTACAAGTGGAGATAAGTTCATACTTCGTCCAAGAAAATGAAGTATTACTGTGTTGTGTATGTGAATATAAAAATTTGTGTATACGAGAATGCCCTTATACACTCACTAGCTGTTCTACTAAGCACAACGTCATTTCCGTTAGAAGATCTGTTAGCTCTGTTGTTATCGACATCGGCCGCTTGAACATTTTTTCGCACCAAAGCAGGCTGTCCAAAGCCCTCATTAGTTGCTTGGCACTGGCAACACCAAAGAACAATAAAAACTTGATTTAGGCATGGAAAGAACACAAACTCCAAAGGTCTAAACAATTATATAAATCCTAGGGACTTGTCCACCTATTACCAATTGTTTTTGGATTAGATGCTCCAACTTTAACATTGTGTCAAAGCAGGAGATTGTTTGGCTCAATGTGGTCATATGTCAAGAGGGGCATGTTGAAAATATAGAATCCAACATTGAGAATTTCAAAACTTGCATCTCAGCATACAAAATCTTGGGGTCTTTTCACCCATTGTTAATTTATTTGGATTGGATGCTCCTATGTAAGTGCAAAGAATCCCAATAAACATGCAGCATCAATTAAACAACCAAACTCTCAATCATTATCATATATTTTTACAAAAAAGAGTTCAGTTCATAGTAAATGCACAAACCTGACTAGATGTCTGATTCATAGAGCTATTGGCATTGGTGTTCTGCACGACTTGAGAGTTCATGTTCTGAACTGAATCCTTTGAACCAGAAACTGGAGCTGATTCCGCATTTTCCATAGGGCCTCCTGCACCACATGCATTTAGTCCTACAGATGACTTCATAAAGGGACCTCCTGATGAAGGAACTAAGGGCGGCCGTTGCATCGGCATGGGAACTCCTTGACCAGGAAGCCCAAACATCTGAAGGTTAGATCCTACCATTCCATTGAAGGCAGGATGCCCTGCCATAGGTGAATTAGGGAAATGTGCTCCTTGCATGGGGGGCACCTGAAGCATAGGGTAACTAGGAGATCCACCATTCATGTCGGGCATACCCATCCCAAAACCCATGCCTAATCCCATCCCCATCCCCATTCCCATTCCCATTCCAA